TATATGTAATGTAAATTGATATTCATATTCTGATGTATATATATACTACAAGGTTTCAAGTATATATTACAAGCCTTCTGGCCGGGTGTGTTCAGACCATTGGGCTATAGTGCTGATGACGTGCATGTTCCAGCTATTCTGGAGATCAAAATTGATGAGTATGAATTTGTCTCGAACGTTCTTGGAACTTGGTTCGTAGGTATGGAGAATACAGCGGTATTGTTTTACAAAGGATGATTGTGGAGCGGAATGATTTTGAGTCACCACATATTTGGCACGTTGACTCGGGTATCCCTATGGATCTGGTTTTTAGTCATCTTACGGAAGAGTGTTTAGCTGGATATAAAGCGCTCTCTCCTGACTTTACTGTGGAAGAGTTTCTGACGAAATGGAGTGACGAATTCAAACCGGACAGCGTTCAATGCATCAACAAATGTATGTCTCTGCATTTGCGTTTTACGTTTCTAGGTGCGTGTTGCGTCAGTGAGTCACTGCTCGTTTTTAGACAAAGTTCTAGTGGAGCAGGATATTTGCTAGCACCCATGAGGTCAATATCTTTTTTATAATCTGGGTGGCAACCCTTAACAAGTTTGTATCTTTGCATTGTATGTAGTGACAACGGAAATCATTAAGTGCAAAACCAGTAAGTCTTTGTTACTTTAAATGGTGGTGATTCATTCGAAGCGATAGCACATGCTATGCGATAGGGTTGTGGATAGTTTGTCAACTCGAGTTGGCAAATTATGGCAGTATTTTTGAGTGAATGTCGCATTCAATCCAAACTCGCGCTAAATAACTACTATTATATATGTACACAGATCAACTTCTGGCTAAGATGGGAAGCTCTCGACACAACGGCAACGAGTCAATAAAAGGTAGATTATCTTTAGACTCGGCGGAACGAAAGAAAACTTCGGATTTGGGACAGGAGAAGAAGCAAGGGGAATCTACTATGGTCGCGCCACAAATAATTCAGCCAGAAAAGGCACTTGTAAGTAATACCGGGAGCCAAATCAAACAACGAGTAATTGTTAAGTTGTTGAAGAAAGGAGAGGACACAAAAGGCATTGTCGTGAAGGGGAGTATGGCAAGTGAACACGGAATGTCATGTGATGATAGTGAAACGAGCAGCAATAGTACTGATGGGGTAAATAGCTGGTTAGCTAGTACCGCCTATTGTCAACCCGTGGACAAAAGGCGAGTTGGAACCTTTGAAACGACATTTCACGAGGTTCAACGGGAGGGTCTTTCTGCCAATAACCGGAATTATACTGTAAGTTCTGTGTGTCTACAACACGAGCACACCCGGACACTTCGTGCCGGTTATCCTACTTCAATCTTATAAATCCGATAGTATGCGCAGCTCTGGAGCTATGGGCGATCGCTTATTTGGCATCCCAACACATATTATTATCTTGCAGGTTCCCGTAGCTATTGCTGATACGGGTGTCAACAAATTTATACAAATGAACAATCATGCTTACAAGGCAAAGAACATCGCTTCCTGTGGGGATTATGCGACACAGAGCGGATATATTAATCAGTCTGCAAATCTAATGGTGAGTAAGACGAATCTGAAAATAAGCGGTTTTGATATTAATGAGCATCAGCAGTTGCTGTACAATCTTGCCGTATTCACCGTGCGACAAAAGCTGGTTTTTGTACACTCTCATGCTAGCACATACTTATCAGGTTCTAACAATTGGCTTCTTTGCAGGTTCTCATTCCCTATCTGGAAAGAAGTTAGTTTTAGTTGTTGCGACGACAGGAAACACTCACCACCAGGCGACGCGTGAGGATAACGATACGGAACTACAGATTTTAACCAGGGACCGAAATAATTTTAAACCTAATTTGAATCTTACCAGATTCGCGTTTGCAGGAGTACGCAGGAGAAACTAATTAACAATATATCATGATTAGTAAAACTTATTTAGATTCAATTTTCAGATTCATGTTTCGAAGGGAGAAGTTTATACTAGCTCGTTAGGAATCGCAAGTCGCGTTTACATCGGCTTTGTGATCTTTGACTTCGGCTCACTCAAGTTCCGGTAACAGGCGAAGTAGAATTATATTTTGCCTTTTTTTACATTTTTTGCGCTACTCACTTCGCACCACTGAAGGGTTGCATTTTCAACGCATCATAGAAAACAATGCGGCTCCTATCCCAGAAAACAGGCGCTGATCGGACGACAAGAGACCACACGTAGGTCTGGAAAAAATCACTCGTGGTGCAATCTTCCGCTTGTTGAAACGAGAGCTGTGGCAATGGCTGAGCGGGCAATGTAGTCGAGAAATGAGATCTAATTCTAAGCGGGCTTCATAGACTTATATTACTACAGAAACAAAATGAGTAGATCAATGTTCAACAATGTCAGTTTCGAAGACCGTTCGATATACTTATGTCAACTATGAGTCTTTACCTATCAGGAGCTGACAGCAACCCAACACTTGACCTCTTTGATACATTAAGTGAGATTGAAGAAAGGATCTGCTGGAAATCGGAATCGTACTCACCTCAAGTAATTTGTTTGAGAAGCCCTTTGCAGAGTCAATAATGCATTGGAAAACTGTGTCGTAGTTCGTAATTGAGTTGTGTGGCAACACCTCAATCTTCGCCTGAAAGTAATCCAGTAGCTGAGCGTAGAAAGAAACACTATTTGTTACATTTAAATGAGTACGGTGCACGCACTTGCACTCGAACTTCAACTCGACAGGACAAAACGTGAGGAAATGAATAGGAATATAAACGACAGCCACGACCTTTCAAGTCGGAATGTCCGTTCAGCACATACCGCTTCTATGTTCACAAGAATATCCAGAAAATGGTTGCTCACGTGGAATTTATCCAGTATATCTCGTTTTTGTAACAAATTGTAGATCAAATGTGGATTCGTGGAGAGGTTGGCCGTGAAAGTGCTTCCAATAATCTCAAGCATTATCCGCAGAAAGTCCGCATATATCAGCACATCTGATTCCAAACTTGACTCGATCTGGAGGCCCTGGACCCATGAAATAGAATATCGAGGCAAAGCTCTTTTATAGTTTCAATTTAAAGGCACAAACGCACAAACCCTTTGAAATAAATGGATAACAGAGAAACATTAAAGTGTCAGGTAGCAAATTAAACAGTTCTATTCGATACCTCTTCATCCTGTGTATTCAGAAAGTCAGCTTCCAGGGCCGATAAGCGGTGAAAACCATCAATCTTCTGAAATTTGCGAGTTAGGATATCGAATAACCTGCGTTGAGAATTAAGCATAAAAAGGTTTCAGTGTGAGCAATTGACGGAGATGTTCAATAACACTGGTATTTAAGCTGCAACAATTTGTGTTTAGGGGCAAAGCTGAATTCATTATGTGTTGACTCACCTGATGACCCGTTGTGCGGCAAAAACGTGGAGATTCTTAAATCCGGATGACATATTGGCTAAAATAGCCAACGACACCGTCTGTAGATATGCATCCTGTACATTGAAGAAGATGAATAAAATTTTGAAAGGCAGTTGGGAGGCAGGTAGATGACACAAAAGGCGAAGTCATTGAGTACTAACCACGATGATGAAAGAAGAATTTACAAGAACGCCGCATTCTCTTGAAACCACTCTAAAATCACCTTCTCCTTCACCAGGTTGTCCTGCATTACTCTGACCAGGATCAGCACAATAATACTCCCCAAGGGAACATCGGTTAGTGATTTTTCTTTGAACCAGGAGATGTCTGCAACAACCTGTGGTGACGGAAAGTGAGATACATTTAAGGAAATATAGATGAATTTGTCAGATCGTGGGCTCAGAACGGATAGTATTTGAAACGATTAAGATTCGATACAGCACTGGGGTAATTGTCCCCATACCCGCGCGTAGCATGGGTATCCACTCAGACTTCCCGTAATCATGAACATGCAACTGTCGACCTGAACATTGAATTAGAAACTGTGGGCTGTCGCGGCGGATGGATGGGTATATAGCTATTGTATACGGAAACAATATCCTTTCCGCTCGTTGCTCATTTGCTTTCGCCTATATGTGTTGTAGTTCGAATAGCCAATCGCATACCGTGTCGTGAACGAACGCATTGTACGACGCGTCCTGGCTGATTATCAGTAGTATACATAGCACCACGTAAGCTCTTTCTGGATTGCTGCCTTCAATAGCCGTACTCTCGCTTAGAAGCACTTTCAACAGCGGTATGGTCAGATTCTCTAGATCTGTCCGGCTCAATATGAAGGCTCTGAACTCGATGTTATCGCTCAACAAAATATACAATAAGATTGCAACCTCTTCCTCTTCGCCCACGCGTCCACACAGGCTACGATACAATCGCGCAAATGATACTGCTTTGTGGCGCCAATTCATATTTGTGGCGAATGACTCCGTTATGGCGATCGCCGTTTCATTATTCTTCATAGTCGCTATTGCGTGCGGAAACTTATATTTTCTCATTAATTTGAATTCTTCCAGAAGGCTCATGTCGATCTTGCTCGATATCCTCCGTGTGCGGGCATACACACACTGATCTTCTATGCTTGCTATTGTACTCTCATCAACAGGAATATCCTCGTTCACCACAGCGGCTCGCACGCCCATCACAGACTCCGCACTCCCACGATGACAATTCAGTGTTAGCAACAGCAACAGGTTTTCTTTACTGAGACTCACCGTGCTCTCACTACTCTCTTGGATTAGAAATGGGAATGTTAGGGTAGCGTCGACGTCGTATGTGTTTTGTCCACTGCTGTCCCCATTTACTGCAGAATTTGTACTGCCACCACTCCACAGAGACGACAAAAAGCTACGAGGCCGTTCTGGCGCTGATTTATTCTCCATAAAATTATTTAGTAGTGCGTGTGTAATGTCATACACATCTACTCCATGAAATTCTGTACTATTGCATTCGCTGTCACGACGCTCAGTTCCTTTCGTTAATATACAACTGGTGACCGATCCAGCACGCAGCGAGGACGCGGCGGGAAGTCCTGACGAAACTTCCTTACTCCCGCCCATTCCTACACTCGTGTTTATTAGTACGTGTTGAGACACGCAATCGTGCTTATCTGCAAGAATGTGGTACAGTCTATGTGAAAGCAACACCAGCAAAGAGGTGGTGGCTTCTAATACTATCCCAAAGGTCAACCCCGTTACCTCGACGTCTACGATAATGGCCCATAGTTGCAACAAATAGACCGCGAGTGTGCCATTATTCTTGCTGCAACCGGCTGAGGGTGTCTTGCTATCAGAATTGTACTCAACGACTGATCGACACTCAAATATCTGTTCGACTAGATCCTCTTCCTCATTATCTAACACGTACTTACAAAATACTCGCAAGATCAACAACACGTTATGCAGGTACCATACATGCCTTTCGTTCTCCTTTGTTTGCAACTGTTTAGTGGCTTTACCGTTTGCATTGCTGATTTTACTTTGCTTTGAAGCCGAGGACATAGTCGTATTCAAACCCCCCCCTTCACTCACCACACCCACAAGCTGCTCCGAGGTCGAAATGTGTCTCACATATTTTCCTAGCAATTCAACTAAAGACCTGAAGTTGCCACTTTCTAAGCAGTTCTGTGCGAACTTCATACAAAGATTCTTCACTTCATTCTCAAATATTTGACCATTCTTTCCACAAACCCGAGGCAACACTAATTGGAACTGAACCAGGTCGTCCCATAAGGGGTCGTCGACCAACACTGGTTGTGTGCCAACAAGCCGAAGCAATGTAACATTCTCCGCGAGAGTTGACGTGCTCGTCGACGAAGCAACTCCCATATTAGTGAGATCACTGCAATGAGATCTGCATGAGCAATAGTCTTCAGTACACCATGTAGATATTGTACTACATCCGGTACCGTCCAAGTTCTCGCTGCTGAATGTTTTGACACCACTTCTAAAATCTAAATACTGTACATAAAATACATTATGGCCTATGCTCTCTCTATTGTAAACACATATGTACGTACATTTAAATAATATTAATAATAAAAATTATACATTGAGAGGAAATCGGGGGGTAAGTAAATACTGATAATATTTATAGCCAATGAAATTACTCGATTTTGGCTGTTTTTTAATTATTCTTAGACCCAGGTCCAGAGGCCTGAGGCCCTGAGGCCGTTCACAAACCGGAAGCCGTCCTACGGACTTTAGTCCGTTGTGGTAAATTTCAATTTTTCTCTTTAAGAGGGTCATGGTAAACATGTACAATTGTAAATACAGAGGCCACAAATAGTGACAAATGAGCATTTAATTTGAAACATTTTTCCCTATTTATGTTTTTATTACTTTAAATTCCGGTAATATTTCAGTAACCAATCAAACATAATTTATCCCAAATCGTAGTGGTTTTGGTTTTGTAGCCCCTGCCCCCTGGTCACCTGCAGACCTTCGGCTTCAGGCTGCAGACCTGTATTGTGCACTCCTACACGAAAGTATCAAATAGTTCATATTGTACCCTAAATATATATTATATATATTTATTTTAGTGTGAATATGTGGCCTTAAGGTTCAAGTCTGCCTGATAATACGTTTCAACCTTTAATTTTAGTAATCTAGATAGTATTAATACGGGCCATCCAATGTAACTGCTACATGTATAAGCTAGCTTTCTTTCGCTAGTATCTTCACTGCAGGTCAAGGCACCATGTTCAGATGATTTCTAGATCGTACCACGGCTATTCTTTTCATCAAATAATTACAAATTTCCAATACTAATGAGCCAGGAATAAGCGAAGACCTCCACTGCTTCAATCGAGTGCAAGGTATGAATATACGTTTTGGTATTTATCATCTACAAAGCGCAAGCTCAAAAGAACTTGAGCCTCACACATTTGTTGACGTGGGTGCTTTTCAGGAGCTGTTATACACCAATGACAAACCTAATTTCCAGATGCCAGCCTCTTCGTCCCCTCTAACCACACTTAAAACATCTCTTTCGATACTCGATCGCCTGTTAGCAATACAAATAATGTGGCAAATTTTCGTAAATGTGTGGCACCAACTGCTCCTCCGTTGGACTTTGACGTTGTACTAGCTCCATTGACGTATGAATGACTAATCGAATATGCAAAAAAAAATCTCGTATAGTTCACAGCGAGCACAATATGGTGGTATATGTGAGGCGTATGATCAACTGGCTATACTAGATCTACAACAATACATACGCGTGCCAGTGGAACCGCGTATACAGCAACTGTACGAGTGTGGTGCATCGTAAACAACAGTTGTACGAGTGAAACGGATCGATGAACACACACGGAGGCTATTTCTAGTGCGTGCTCGTGTACATGATACACTCGCGAGTCCTTCGATGCCCGTTGTTCAAAGCATACCGTGCTCGACTCCACTTTCCTCATGGCCATATCGCCTGTCCCTCCCTCGGAATGTCCAGCCAACCCATAATTCACGCTCGTTCTTGCCATCCATATCATCATCATCCAAGTCCGGACCATCGAAGCCTTGGTATTTTGCAATATCTTCAGGGTTTGTAAAGTCGTCAAAGTATTGTACGTCGTGTTCGTTGGTTAAATCTGGTATAAAAGGCGGCCGCTGTATGGAAGGAAATGCACACACAATGATTTTAAAGTAAAAGTAAGCCTACAGTGCAATTCTTTGACAGAACTGATTGAAGTAAAGTGAAGCCGAATCAGTCATATAGATAAAAATTGTTTACAATATGCCCTTCGCGCAATGAATTGACATTGCCATCATATCGATATTGTAGTCTCACGTACCATATTTTTCACTGTACTCCAATCAAATCCTTGGAACCAAGGATGTTGTTGCACCTGTACAGGGCTATGCAAGCGATTGGCCTTCGTTGTGATGAGCGATTCAATCAGATTCCATGCCTGTCGAAGTAATCGTTGCGTTGAGTTCACAAATTTTGCATATAGTACTCTGAGCACGAGACCCAATTAGATCACGATGGGAGCACACTCAAATAACAAGACATAGCCAAGTTAGCTCGTAGACATCAAATTGGTCATGATGAACTCTGAATGAATTGTATGAGCTAGTCTCAATTTTTAGGAGGTACCTTACCGCACGATCTTTTTTGGTATTTCGTTTCAAATGAGATAGAATTGAACACATTGGACTGCTACGAGAGTGCGTGATAGTAATTTGCTACAATACATGTTTGAAGCAATACACGTGCCAAAGAGTTGACTAAGCAAATGTATTCTGTACAACGCACCTCATCTGACATATTGAATTCCTTGTCCGCGCCTTGATATACAGGGCGATCAAGCACATCTTGCCAATTGAACACGTTGATCCAGATTTCATCGACGGTGGGGGCACCAAATGGAGGAAACGCTGCGAGAAGCTCGAAAAATATACAACCTAACGACCAGTAATCCACCAGCAGGTCATATCCTTCATTTTTCAACATTTCCGGAGCCATGTAATCGGGTGAACCCACCAGAGAAAAAGCCCGTGTGCGATCCTCTAAACAATGTAGAAATGTAACAATATACTCAGGTTGTGGCAATAATGCATAAAATTCATAGAATACGCGAGACTCGCGTGTATTTCACAACTATGACACAGATTGTATACATTTGCATCATTTACGTGTTTAGTAAATAACTAAAAAATCTACCATCGGGCACTGTCGTCACATGCGGATTAAAAAAGTTGTCAGATCCCTTTCCTGTCGATCCAGTGGGATATCTGGTGACCAGAGTAGAGAACTGTATATATAGCTACGAAATACAAGAGAAAATGCTCCGCCTACCTGCCCGAATCGTTTGATACATTGTTCTCCTTTCGACTGAAGAGTATTTCACAATTTGTCGATCTTTAATGTTGTCAAGCTGCATGGGAATTTTCCACAAGATTATATACGAGGCATCGGTAGCGGCCAATGCATGAGCTCGGAAAATTTAACGCTCATAGAGGCACGCAAACGGGCTACATACAAAGCCAAAATTTATGCAACGGTGGCCATTTGCCCAATAAATGTATACAACCGTGTGGAGTTTAGCGTTGTTTGCTCACATACCTTTGTGCGTAGTTTATCCCTGTACTCTTTGCTAACGTTGCCTTTCGCAAGACCGAAGTCCGTCAGCTTTAAGTGTCCCTGCGCGGCTATCAAAAAGTTTTCTGGTTTCAAGTCTCTGTATTGGCATCAAAGTTCGAGAAGTCAGCGTGCAAATTTAGCAATTGTTCTTGAAGGCACCGCATTGACAGCTCACGTTGCAACGTTGAGTCGCCAATGGTTCTTGCAAAACGCACCATTGCAGGATTATGTACAGGACGGTGCAAACAGCTCAACAAGAAACTCATGAAATCCACGTACCTGTGAATGAATCCCAAGCGATGCAGAGCTGCCACGCACAAACACATCTCCATCATATAGAATCGGGCGTGTGACTCATGTAGCACACCACTACCATTCAGCAATGTTCTCATATCACCGCCTGGAACGAACTCCTGCGTACAGCACACCAGAATTGTTAAATATAGACTTATTGAGCTGACTAAGTATTAGCTCCCGCTGATGAGCTTTGCAGTTATGTTCAGGCTTGTCAGAAAACGCCTTCACGAATTCCAGCCAAAATGTATGTTACTTTCCCCGCAGAAGGCGTGACGCACGAGGGAGTGAGGGACGCTAAAAGTGACAAATATATCACATAACTGATCTATTGAGCTTATATGCGCGTTTATGTTGTAGGCCGTGCGCATGTATTAGTAGGTCAATATAGTCGCCAGCAAACCAGACACTTTCAATTGTCTTCAGTGCGTTAATTCGATATATACTCACGTTGCCTCCTCATAGTTGAAGCTCGTACGTTTAGAACTTATGATACACACAGAATGAGTGATGAATCGATTATGTGATCAGGTTTTTCTCGTGATAAAGAATATTCGAGACCACTCATCTAACACACACTTTGAGGTCAAGAAGAGCATGCTTCCTCATACTTCTCCAAGCCTAAAAGCGGCCAAAACCAGCTTGTGCTTCAATGAATATACTTAAAAACTCATTTCTGTGCCTTATATCCCAACATTCGCATAGTGGACAGGGTGTGGCGTGCCCGAGATTGCAACGTGGACCTGAGCTGTACGATTCATTGTACTTAATAAAAAACATACTATCAGCGAAAACACAAACCCCCAAAGCCTGCATTTGGAATATAAAGATCACCTTATAAATGAGCAGTTTCCAGTGTAGTGAAAGCTTATCTAGAATTATCTTTGCCTTTCAACTTCTCGATGAACTTACCATTGCCAGATACACGTAGGTTGTGTCCTGGAAGGAGTACAGCAACTTCACCAGCCATCTAGAATCCGTAGCTGTCAACACGTTTCTTTCATTCCTTATATGATGTACTTCATCTTGTACCATCAAAGCTTTCTTCCGCATACGCTTAAGCGCGCATATTTCCTTTGTATCCTTTTTCAACGAAAGGAAAACTTCGCCGTACCCTCCCTTTCCAATTTGACACAGAACCTGGAATTCGTTATATCCTAATCTTGTACGCCTTTTACGCAAAAAGGCGCTCTCTTCTCTGCAGCGAATAGCCCATTCTTCGCTCGTAATGTCTGGCGTCCATCCTTGGATCCTTGCCTTTGCCTCAAAAGCCTCTTTCCTTTTTTTCCGCTCACCAATGTATGTTAGGAGATCCCAATAATAATCATAGAAGTACATCTCTGTAGCAACGCTGAGATCGAGGGCCGAAGGCCGTCTCAACTGTTTGACCTCTGTTTTCAGATCATCTGAACTCTGAACCAACGCCATGGTCACAAAGCTGTTCAACTATTACAAGAATTTGCCTTCACGGGAAATGACGAGGATAGTATTATTGATGGGGAGTGTATTTATGGCAACATGTTCCGACTACTACACACGGTATTTACATATTTAATTATTTATATTTTTAATTTCTTTATGAGATGCGGGAGATAACAGTCTTTTTTTTTCAACACTTTTTTTTCCGGTATATCGTATATTACATACTTCGAATTTCAAAAATCGTAACTGGAAAACGGGAGCCACCCACGTCCCTTTTCTTTTTTTCACATCTGTGGCCTGTGGCCGCAGAGCTCATAACGTACATAACCTATATACAAAGTAAACGTACAACGTTAAAACGTCTACGTTTTGAAAATAGACGTTACTACCTTAAGAAATGTATTTTCCCAAAACCTATTTATACCGAGATTTATTTCACCAATTAGAATGTTGCATTTGATACTTCATTTTTCAATTATATATTTCATGATTAAAAATCAGGTTTGAAGAAATTCAAATCATTATACACCGCGGTCAAAAGTTGGAACGAAACTGCCAATTCTAAAAACAGTGTACGCCAAAATTTTCATATCCCTTGTACATATTTAATAGACGTAAGTCTCAGAACGAAACCGTACATTATGAGCTCTGCGGCACCAAAATAAAAACGGAAGTAGGTCGAACTAACGTACAGGGTGGGGACAAAGTCGACATTGAAACCTAGTTTTGTCCTAGTTTCTGTTACATTCTCATTCCCTAGATTGTCGTAATTGAAAAATAATATTGTTTGATATTTACTACAGTGTTTTCAGTTTTGGGTACAATTTAGAAGGCTATGGTTTTGTGTTCTATTTTCAGAAGGTTTTGTCATGGCCCTCTGGATTTGAGTCTGCGCTAAATTTACGATTTCGTCGGAAGAAACCTGATTTCTGCTCGAGACCCAAATCCAGAGGGCCATGGTTTTGTGTTCAATTTAGAAGGCTAAATAGGTGTTTTGGGACTGTACTAAAGTATATATGCTACTATATAGTTGGGCTCGATTCTTATTCAAATTGTTGACATCAACATTTTTTTTATGCGGGGGGGGTTTTAAAAGTCCAAAGTGCACCAAAATTTCTATTTAGAAGGCTATGACCAAAAATCTATAAATGCAAGGTGAGGGCCCCGGGGGGACCCTATTTAAACTGAAATATCTCGAATATGGCGATAAATCAATGAAAAACGATGACCAGGTTCGTCATAAAATGAAGCCCAATATCATAGTCATAAAATAGATATGAGTTATGTACATAGTGTTACATATAAAATATCGCCGCTAGTCTCGAAATGACTAAATATTTTCATTAATACAATAGATTTGTAAGTATGTGGTTTCCATTGTCGGACAGTATGGCTTTGGGTGCACTGTTTGGCCGGCTAGTTGCAGTCACAGACAGGAATGATACTTATATTTTTCAGACATCACAAGCTATTTTTGGTGCTGACATTCCGAGCGAAGGGCTTACGGCTGTTATGACCATCGCTCAACCATACGATGCCTGTTCGCCAATCGTGAACGATGTATCGGACAGTATAGTTCTGGTAGAGCGGGGTGGTGATTGCGATTTCTTGGTAAAGGCTAAAATGGCTGAGGAAGCCAAAGCTGTGGCTTTCGTTGTTAAAGACAATGTGGATGGGCCGTTAATTATTATGAACGCTCCCGTGGGTGAGGGTTGTGATACGATCAAGATTCCCGCTGCTTTTGTGTCAAAGGCGGACGGCAATATCCTGTCAGCGTTAAGTGAAACCAAAAACCGACTCTCTGCAGGAGACCTGACGATAGTGTCCGGTAGTCGGTCTGGCGTACGCGCGACTCTATACCCCAGCTTCTTTCTGGACTCAGTTGCCTCTTTTATCCTACCGTTTCTACTGATGTTTGCCACATCGTCACTGTTGTTTGCTACGTATAGTCTATATTTGAGACATGCGCGAGCGAATTTTCATGCAGTATGTATGAGTACTTTATTGATGTGTTTCATTTTTCACTTTCGGTATGACTGAGGTTGACGAGTGTTATCAGAGAATTGACTGGAAAAGTTAGTATATATTTTGTTAGCTCGTACGGACAAAGAATTTGCAGTTCTTCAATTCATCACCATTTGTACATGCAGATTTCAACCCTGACAGAGGAAGAGTGTGCCAGAATTCCGACCCACTCGCACAAAGCTGTCAATTTCGGAGACACTTGCACGATTTGCCTGGAAGATTTCACGGCGGATGAGCAGCTTCGGGTGTTACCCTGCAATCATGGTGAGTGACGACTCCCTTCGCCACGTGAAATTGGCTTGTGGGTATTGAGATGATTGATTCGATTGATTCTCAGGTTAATTTAGGCGCTACTTCTCTACAATGGGTGAAGTCTATATTAGATGAATCAATAGCATATAGTTCTATATCAGTGTTTGTTGCCCATACATCATTCTGGCGAGGCGGTCTTTATATACATTTCGAAATTCGTAGCGCTATGTACTTGCCAATTTTTTACTTGCCAATTTTGGTACAGAATTCCACGTTGAGTGTGTCGACCGATGGCTGATTAATCAAAAGAAAACATGTCCTGTCTGTAAGTGTGACGCTCTGAATGGAGAGAAACACCCACTCCTTGCTGGTCAGGTATCTTAATTGATTCCTCATTTTCTTTTTGTTCGCTTTTTGTTGTTCAGAGGATTCTAGCACTCTCGAATATTTCAATTCATTCTCATGAATTTTTTATTCGACGTCTGGACTGGTCAGCTAAATGATGATGTTGCCGTGGAAGTCGCCGCACCCGTGACGAACGCCAGTGCTACAACTTTAAGTGCGGCGGACGATACCGGCAGGCCAAATCAACCATGAAATCATGACCATAGTCCGCCCCTTCACGCCTGTCTTCCCTCGAAAATAGACCATCAAGCTATGGACAGTATGTGCATTAGTCCGCACGCTTCACGCCTCTCTTTCCTCGAGAATTGATCATCATCAAGCTGTAGACCGTGTGTGCATTTGTCTGCAGTGTACGTACACATCACACACTAGAAGTTTATACCAGGTAGAGCGACAGTAGTTCGAGAGCGCCCTGTGATAGCTTGGGAAGTAGATTCTAAGACAGTACTTTCTACATAGATTCGAGTTATCTTAACGGCGTGTGATGTGCCCCACGGTAAAGTATACTACTGGGTGTCTAGCACTGCACCTTTAGCGTCAGCTCCAAATTGATCTCCGAAAAAAGAAAATGAGGATGTGTCATCAAAACAAATAGCTCGTGATCTATCGAGTATGTGCCCAACCTTTGTTCTAAACAGGACGTTTCCTGGATAATAAACACTACAATTTGTTGACATATTTACCACGTTTCTTCCTTTAATATGAATTAAAGACACGACTAGCACGTATCTATAAAGTATTCGTTGGTGTAAAATTAAAACTATACATCAATATTCGTTCAATAATTGTTCGCAAATACCAAGACAGGCAGCTTACAGGTTAGAGCTGTCACCCAAATCTTTCAAAAATGCTAGTACACTGTTTATATACAACATAAGTAGTAGTCAATTCAACACAATTCGGCACGACATGCGTCATGGTAGTAACAGACTATCTAAACAGCTTTTAAGATAGCATGGTGACCAATAACAAAAGAGCGGTTCAAGCATGTCTTTTGATTCAGTAGTAAAAACACTCTGAATTTCAGCCGTCGACCGATAGAGAAGCAATGAATGAGGTTCGAATGGTGCGAATGGATATAAAATGAGCACTCGTCACAATACATAATTGCAACACTGAGCTTCTTTAGGTATGTATGTTTGTATGTATGTATGTATGTATGTATGTATGTATGTATGTAGGTAGGTATGTATGTAT